TCGAGAGTGTTGTTTCGTGTATTATCTGTGATTAGTGTATTTTTAAAATCAAAGTTTTATCAGCCAGTGAAGTGTTACAGGTCTAAAGAGGAAAGGATAGAATACTAATTATAAGCTAATTTTTTCTGCAACTATATTTTGTTTACTGGTTTGTTTTCCTCTCCAGACATCTATGCTGCCCTGTGGCCATTCCTTGCCATTGTTGCCGAGGTGATTATCCTGTGCATCATTATTTTCATCTACGAGAAACGCCGCATCAAGGCCAACTTCGATGATTCCGACTCAGATCCTGCCCCAGACCAGTGAGTTTGTTAGATAAGTGCTTTAGACACAGGTACATTAAAGATTTAACTCATCATAATAGAGAGAGAGTCTGAGTGGATATTTGTGTCTCATGAGATTGATTGAAGAATGACCATTAATGAAGGGGAGAGTAAGAGAGACATGGGAGGCATGGAAATAAAGTAGGTAACAGGTGCATCAGCAATGGGGAAAGTTGATTAAGATGTATATAATTGTAGAATGCTTAAAAATATATTGATATATATTTTTATATGATTTAGTGCATTTAGTTTTTGTTTGATTTTAACCAATTTCATTATTATCTTCAGGAAAAGTGTTGCCGACCACAACAAAGATGCCGAAGTTCGCCAGAGGAAGTAGACTGTGATGTGGTGATATTCTTATCACTGAAGGATGTGGTGTTTAGGGAGGAAAATAAGTTTGTGATATTTTTAGTAGTTGAAGGTGCCATAAAAAAAAGGGGGGGAGGGGGGACTTCATAAATGGAAATTGACAGATTTTATAATTTTATGATCTCTATTTTACACCTTTTCCATTATTGGACTGGATACCCAAGAAAGCCTTTAGTAACATTTGGGCAATCCTTTTTGGCTTTGTTATATTAGAATATTTATATGGAAAGATATATATTACTTTGTTTTTGGTTCTTTTTTTGTTTCTGGCAACATCTTACTTATTTTCCACAAAATAAAAAAATTATAAATAAACATCTCTAAAAACAAAGTTGGAAATCACACAGTTGCAGTCCTCCAGGTACCTTGTACAGAGCAAAAAGGACAATCTGGTAATGAAGTCATGAAATGTGGCAAACACTCCAGATAGCGTGTATATTGTTGCATGTTGAGAGGATTTCTGCAATGTGTGGAAAGTGGATGTGAAACTGGAATGACTTGATTTTTTAAAAAATTGATATGTGACTGGATATTTATACTTATAGATGTGAGGTTGTGGTTGTGGATGATATTTTGATTATATATATATATATATATATATATATATATATATATATATATATATATATATATATATATATATATATATATATATATGGTATATCAAGTAAATATTCGCATATTTTATCATGGCTATTGAAATATATTCCACCCCATATATTGTGTAGAAAGCAAGGTATCATATTTTATGTTGAGTTATGAATATATACAGGGAAAGTTGAAGTGCCAGTTGCTCTGTAGATGCTTTGTCAATATAATATTACTTTGTGTAATGGAGTATTAGATTTTCTTTCAGTGTCTTTCATATTTTGTTTAAAAATATACTGAGTGTCAGTAATAAACTTCCCCTTTGGTATATTGAACGTGTTGTGAGAGATTTCATACTCATTTGGACTGCCTGGAATAAGGATAAAAGTTATATTTTTAACATCTTTCTTAGTTTTTATAGTGTCAGTATGTGATGCTTATATGTCCTCTCTCAGTCCAAAATATATATAATGTTTTGAAACTGAAATAGCAGTGTTGTATGAGTGGATTTTCTACCTTTGAATGGAGTACATGGAAATGAACTTTTGTGGATATGCAGTTTTAATGCATTTCCTTTTCTATTCTTTCTTTTTTATTTTCTCCGCAAAGGCAGTCCCTATATAATGGAACAGATGTGCAGTTTTTTTTTTAAATATTTATGATGCTATTATGTTTAAATTTAAGACTAGTATGTTGATGCTTCATAGAATTATTTCCTTCCAAAAAAAAGTATGTATTAACTTTCTCTTTTATTCCACAAAATAGATAATTCATGAGAAGAGTCTTTGAAAGGTATAGGTACTCGTATATATTTCACATTCACTCCTAAGAATGTAGTAGTAGTAAAGCACTATTATCAGGAAGCAGCAATAACAAGGAGAAAGTATCTCCCAAAAAATAGCATTTGTCATGGAAATCTTCCTCTCTTTTACCTTAACAGCAGTTGGTAACAAGTCATGAATGGATTTAAGTTTTATTAGGAACTAATAAACTTTTGTTCAAGTTTAGTCTAATTCAGTTTCTGCTTGCTACTGGGTTTTATTTATCAGTATGCATTTGATTATAATTGAAAGGTTTGAGAAGACTGTGTGGCCATAATTTATCTTGAAAGGAAGCCTTATTTGCTTTTTTTTTTTTTTTTTTTTTTCTTTTTTTTATGTAAAAGTGGGGAAAATTCAGGGAAGTGAGAATGTATGTTCTCTCACAAAATGGCTGTGACTACAGCTAGGAATTGGTGTAGACCTACCCGTTTTCCATATATCACATTTTGTTTTGCCTTGTATGTATATAATATATATTTATATATATATATTGGTAATAGATGTAAGTTTATGGTATATAATTGACATACATGTATTTACTTGTCTGGTCCAGTATTGATTTTCAGTTGTAGAATCCGTATATTAGTCACAAAAATTGCAATATTGTCATTAGCTCATATGTATACTTTCTCCTCATGTTGATAACCAAAAATTGGATATAATTTCAGCTTTGTAAAACTAGTTTATACATATATCATATGGAGTAAAATAAAAATATAAACCTTATTGGTTTTCTAACTTAATTTATTGAAGACAAGCCAAATTAGGTCACATAAATCAAACAATGACTAGAAATATCTTCCAAAGTTTGCAACAAAGGTAACAATTTATGCACTTCATTCATACTACACTACTTCGTACATATCAAGTGACATAATCTCTGCTCTATTAGAATCTTAAAACAATTTTCATATTCTTTAAGATGGCTATAAGGACAAAGTACTTAAAACTGTTTTGACGGTCACAGGGACAAAATGAGATTCCTCAGCTTTCCTCGCACTACAACATACGGACATGGTGAGAATAGGAACTAAGAGTATCTGAATAAGTAGTCTATTGTAAAAATAGATGAAGGTATTAAATACACAAACACACACACACACTTTTCGTGGCCAAAACAAAATGCCCACATTTCCACAAACAAAACAAGTTCACAAAATGCATTTACATTCCTGAAATGCAGCCATTCAGAATACATATAAATATAAAAGAGGAAAGAAGAAAAATGGCATCTATTACAGAAGCCAGGAAAAGGAAAATCCATTCTTAAAAGAACAAAATATACCATTTTCTTTTCTTCATTTCATCAAATGATCACATGACTTGAGGAAATAACTGGGTCAAGCTGTATGCACCACTCAAAAGTATAACTTTTAATATGAAAGTACTTAAAAATGTTGTGCTTAAGATTTAACAAAAACTGTTAAATCAGGATTTTTTATACTACTGTTGAAGCAAAAGTGAAATGGGGGGGGGGGGGGGGGGGTGCAGGCCATAATGAACAATAAACCTAAAACATCTATGAAAATATGACCCAAATAGTTCATTATTCTCCCTGATGATTTGGAACAGCTTTTCTTTCCATGCACATTCCTTTTCAAATATAATAATAGTGAAATAGGGGTGGGGGGGGGGGGTGCAGGCCATAAAGAACAATAAAAAACCTAAAACATCCATGAAAATATGACCCAAATAGTTCATTATTCTTCCTGATGATTTAGAACAGCTTTTCTTTCCATGCACATTCCTTTTCAAATATAATAATAATAGTTTTAAAAAATTAAGAAAAAGGTAAACAAAAACAAAGAACAATCTCTGGTAGTTAATAATAAAATAAAAAAAAGTGGGGGTTATCACTGAACAATGAAAATTAACATACTTCTTCCCAGCACTTTCATACTAACTGCAAAGCTAGATATCTTTGTTTTTTTATCATATACAATGTGCTTTGTTGAAGATTTTTTAATAAGCCATGCCAAAAAATCCTTACAGCCTTATTTTACAATTTTGTAGAATATTAATTGTTCAATACACTGATTAAATGGCCATTATATTCTTGAATGCAATATAACATCAATATATATATTTATATATATCCATATATAATCTAAAGATCAGAATAACATTAGATTTTCATGATTCTTCTGAGTACACAAAGCTTAGTCATTGCTATTGGTTTTTAAAACTCAGCTGGTTTTGATGGTAGATTAAAAAAAAATAATAATTACTGCTTTCCTAACTTTACCAATCTCTTCTTAGCAAAGACAATGGTATTATAAATGCAGGATTTTAAATTTTAAATCTATGATTTAAAGAATAAATGAATAAATAAAAAATAAAGCACATTTAATACATAAAGTCTACTGCTGAACACTGTGGATGATACCAATATTTTTGAGAACCTCTAGAACACCTACATTTCAACTTCTTTTAAATGATAAAAATGATAATGCAATCAGTAATACTAATACTTGTTCAATACCAACTTCTTTCTTTTCTTTGATTTTTCCTTAGGCCATCACTCCGTAACAGCTGTTTCTGCATGTTCCAGGATTGTTTCAAAGGCAAATGGCACGAAGGCGTAGCCACCACCTCCGTAAAACTTGCTCTGGAACTCCACCCTGAAAATAAGTTGGGAAATAGTAAAGTAGAGCATTACCTTAAGTAATCTACTGGATAAATATCTAATACTATTTGAAGATCTCTTTTCACAATACAACTGAAAAGCATCAAAAGCTAAGCTTACCTTATATCAGCATAAATTAAATTCCACCTAAATCTACAACTTGAACAGGTGAGAGGCAATAAAACAACAATAAAAACTAACCAATGCAGTCGAAGAGTATGCAAGAAGGCAGAGAGCCCCTCCATGAGCACAAGAATGGCAATAGTGAGGGATGCCCAAGCTGCGAAGATGAAGTAAGTGACAATGCCACCAACCCCGCCTGTACCACCAGCTGTTAGTCCAACACGGAGAACCATCTGCCACAGCACCTCACTCAGTTCTGTCAAATAATAATTCATGTTACTCCAAAAGAAAAAGAATCTTTACTGAAGCTGTATATAAAACCAGGTAGCTCCACTTCCACTTAGCCTGTTGAACCCTTTTTTGATCCTGTCAGTTTGAGATATTTTATCGTATTTTTTCAGTGCATTTACTTTCACAATGACTCAATAATAACAATGAAAAAAGATATATATACATAAATAAATAAATAAATAAACGATAGTCTACGCTTAGCTGCCAACTAGGATTTTCTTCATTGACAGAGTGCAGCTACCTGTATTTAAGTATCTTGCTTTACTCATGTCATCACATAACTAACTTCCAGTGTAACTTCATACTATTAATACAATATAAATAATATAACATAAAACAAATACAACTTCAGCTCTCTGGTCCAACTTACGAGCATGGGCAAGCGACAGGGCCCAGAGTCGCAGGTACGAGGCAGTGTGAGACACGGAGCCAAGGACATACTCAATGGTGTGGATGCCCTGATGGATCATGATCTCACCCATGTCATGCACTTCCTCTGCAGCTGCAGCAGCTGCAGCCTCACCACCACCTTCTTCAATGACACCCTCTCCTCCATTAGCTTGTGACATCTGTTGGCAAGAAAGCATCCTTCACTCTCATAACACATTCCTAGGTTTCCTCATTTGTGATTACACAGCAATTAGTTTCCTACATTAAATAACTGACATAATTTAGTTATTCTAAAAATACAGATAAGTAAATAAGCACATATCTGGAAGTGAGAGCTTAGCCAGTACATAAATCAACAATGTAATAAAAGACTGTACCATCTGCTTGCGCTTGTTGTTGCGGTGAAGTATGAAAGGTTTAGCAAGGAGCATCCATGGTACACATATCAGCCCAATGCAAACGAGGAATCGCTGGAATCCAAACTGCCCAGCATACATATAAGGTGAGCACGGGTCGGTATCTGGTGTCGACTGATAACCCTTCATCAAGACCTGATTTAAAAGGTAACATTAGTTATCATTAGGAAAATATGGACCTTTCTATTTACATGAAATGTTTTTTGATTCAAATGTTAGTTAAAGGAATATCAATTTATACAATAATTTTTGGAAAAATATATATGGATTTCATCCTGTCACTTACCATGTTAATGAAGGTAATGAGGATGGAAGGTGCACAGTTGGGAGAAACACTTTCTGCACCACCAGCCCCATACCATACCCACTTGTGGAACACCAGAAGAACTAAGTACCCAAACAAACAGGTCAGGAAAATTATCTGGGGGATGAACTCACAGTAGATGTTCATGGGCCTGTTGAAGAACCTGTAGAAAGAGCAAGGCATAAAGATAAATAAAAAATAAATGAAATATAAAAATACTATAAGCCTCCAGAGTTGGTGACACAGAGATTTCTGATAATGTCACTAACAGGGTTAAGACCTTTTTTCACAGTAATAAGCATAATTAACCCAAATCTGATGGGCATGGCATATATGTACAAGCCAAGCGTACTGTGAGTTTACTTTATTAATTGTTTTTACACATAGATGGTTACACATGTACTAAGTCACCAATGAGAATTGTCTAGCCTGTTTACCCTTTTCATTAGTTTTCAAAAATATTTTACATTAGCTTATATTGCTGTTACAAATGTATATAACAGTAATTATAAGGTCTATTATAAAAATAACACCACTGATATTCACACAGCATTAGTAAAAAAAAAAACACCAATTCAAGGAAAGGTGAAATTAGGTAAGGTAACAAGGTCTACTAATTGACTCCTTTGTGGCTAAGCACTAGCAGAGCCATTTCACAAAATAAAAAATGAGCACAGCATTTTCCCGAAAGTAGTGGGTTAACATAATAACAAACCACAATATCAAAAATTATAATAAGTCTCAATATTAATAGCATAAAAAAAGAAAAGAAAAAAGAAAAAAGAAAAAAGAAATCCCCAAATTTTCAAGGAAAGGGAAAATCAAGTGATTTTACATAGGCCTACTAATTGACCCCTTGGTACTGAGCACTTGTGGAACCATCCATGCGCAAACATAATTCACAAAATATAAAACATTGGACAATTAAATGTTTCTAGCAGCAATAGTTTACAAACCATCAAAACCAAGCGGTACCTCACCTGTGGTTCCATACACTAAGAACGACACCAAAGAGCATGTGGATGATGCCAAAAATGATGGAAATCTTCATTTTATAGGAGTTATAGAAATTGATCTTGTTGAGAGCAATCTGCCAAATGGGATCCAGGCCAAAGGGGTATGGGTACTGGTCATACTGATCCGAACTGCCAGGGTCAAGGATCAGCTCCTTGTTGGTTAACAGGGTGCTCTCACTGCAATAAATGATTTCAGTATCAGCAACTCATAGGTCATGTCAATGTATTTCATAATTTGAGGCCTTTTGAAAAAACATACGAGTAACTGTAATATCAAGTAAGCTTTTTGTTATTTATGATCTTTCCAAGTCATAAAAACTCAGGACACTAACTATAAATTCAGCTTCAAGAGGGATACAACTGAATACAAGCTAAACAATTAAAATCATAATAATTAAAATAATACAACACATACTTGTATTTGCCATGCCATGATGTCCCAAATATGTTCAAGGCTTTGGAGAAGATGTCGTTGTAAATCAGGCCCGTGTACATGGAGAACATACCCATTAATAGGATGATATACCTTCCACCAAAGAAAATATTCCAAATCTGGAAAAGAAAAGCAAGATTTGTTTACTCCCTTACTGCATTCTCTCATTTCATGCACAATTCTATCTTTGTAACATGACTGTTATAAAGTATTTTACGTAGGTGGTCATTTCAAACACATTAATTGCCTTTTTTTTACCATAAATACAGCATAATCGGTACTACAAGATCTTGAAGAAACAATTCAGGACTTTCATGCAAAATTACTGGTCTTCAAAATATTTTCAGAACACTAAACTCAAAATCAATCAAACATCTGCTTATGTGTCATCCTTTAACCCCTTGCCGCCGGGTGACGGCGATACGCGTGTAAACAAATCGCTCGAAAGGTGGCGTGCGGCCAAACCAGCCGGCGGCCCGCCAAAGCGCGGCGAGCCAGTGATTCGGGCTGACGCCCCGTACTCCGGCGCTCAAAGTCGGCGCGCTGCCTTTGTTTGCCAGAGCGCAGAGTTTTATTTTCCTTTTGTACACCCGGCGTCATTGGGTTAATATAATACAATTCTTAACACTCCATACATGAGACTTTCCCCTAAGCAACTGTAAACAATAAGAGTATTAGAAGCTCCCCTTCACAACACTCAAACCTCAGCAAAAGAAAAAAACAACCAACCTCATTGTCAGTCTTCTTGGCAGAGAGAGGTTTCTCCCTCCATACCATCCAGCCACCGAAAAGGGCCATGATTATGCCATGACCCACATCGCCAAACATGATGGCAAAGAGGAAGGGGAAGGTGATGATGGTGTATGGTGCTAGAGAAAGAGAGGGAAAATATCAGTAACAATAATTTGAAATAATTCCAAAAAAATGCAAAATAAAATGATATTCTTGACCTACACACACAAAATCATCAAATCACTAATAGTCTGTAGTGCTGATTATTTCATATTTATAATTAACGTATCTGTATGAAATAATGGATAATGAATAATAAAATCAAATAAACAATAACAGTAGTCAAGAACCTTTGCTTACCAGGATTGATTTCACGGTAAGTTGCAACTCCATATGCATCAATCAGAGCCTGGAAAGCCTTTGTAAATTTGTTTGTTCGGTGAAAAGTTGGAGGCGCTTCATGAGTGCTGAGCCGGTTCAAAATTGCTGGCAAGCTTCCACTCTTTTCCTGAAAAAGAAAATTTTCTGTTATAGAATGAACTTTAACAAGGACAATACTAAATTCCTCAATGCACTAGGACCAACTAAGAAAATACAATGAAAGAACTTTGATTAGAGAAAACTCCAATGACCATCTCACTCCTAACAAGCTTGAGGATCTACATTCATCAATAAAAAAAATATTAATAATGATAAAATAAAATAGTAGATCCATTTCACTGTCCTAGAAAGAATGAGCCTGAGAATATCATCTACAGTACCCAACCCTGCAAAAAAAAATATATATATATAAAAAAAATAGGGTAATAAACACGCACTACAACTGAAACCCCTTCAACTACTCACAGTTCCGCGTCGCAGGGCTAGCTGCACATCTTCCAGGTTGGCTACTGGAATCCAGCATTCAGCGATCAAGCCATTCTGGATAACATCCAGGTTGAACATATTGAGTGTGTGGTAAATGCTCTTGATCTTCCACACCTTCATCATCCATGCACGGATGTTACGCGCAGCAGACACCAACACACGGTGACGGTGATCTTGGGTCTGGCTCAGCACCTGCAATATAGAACACAATTGACGTGAGAAAAGGGAAAAAACATGGCAGTAAACTCTTTAAAAATTACATGTGTGAGAGCAATCACCAAAGAGAGAGAGAGGTTCACCTACAGTGCTAAGGTCATCCAGACGCGTCTTCACTCCCATGGCCATTTCACGCCGATCAGCTGGAGCCTCTGGGCACGGGTACATGGTGGCGCGGAAACCTTCGCAAATCTTCTTGACTCTCATCTTCAGCTGATCACCTTGGAAGAAGATGATGAATACCGACTTGTACACTTGCTCTCCCTGTGTGACAAAAAGTAGTAGTATTACCTCGCGATCTCAAAAAAATTCTCCTTTCAATCCTGGGTCATATTACAGCTTGAAACCATACACCAAAACAAACTCTGGCGAACTTACTGTAGCCGGATCCTCGAGTGGGTCATTGATCTCCGCCTGCCTGAGGAACACGTTGCCTCTGCAAGCGCGCCACAGCATCCTTTCAAAGGCGGGGATCCTCTCACGCAGGATCACACCGGCCACAAACCTAAGAACAGCAAGGTTTACATTTACAAAAATATTTTCAGAACAGTAATACGAAGGTATCCCTTATTTCAGAACTAAGAATTGCCAGTATATCCATAGGCAGAAAATATAAAAAATCATGATTATGACAACTCTCCGATGTGATTTCCCCCAACAGAAATGCTCTTACCAAACGAACAAATCAAAATTTTGTTCACACTTTTGATTCATCAATATTAACTGGAAAATTTGTATGTATTACACAATTTGATATTTGCAATCTTTGACACCTAAATAGGCTTTAATCTACAGTGAACTATTTCTATCTAAGACAAAATAGAAAAGGGGAAAAAATTCTTATTTACATGTCTTTTGTTCCTTTACCTAGTCCTTCTCTTATTTCCTAATTAATAAAATCCAAAAGCATTTCCGAGTGAACATGTATTACTAGATAATAAAAACTCCTCAAAGACCTTACTTTTATTGGATAAAGTGGATTTACTTCTGATGACTAAACTAAATCTGACATGAAACACACACACACACTTTCTCACATGCGCACACACACACACACACACACACACACACACACACACACACACACACACACACACACACACACACACACACACACTTTCACACACACACACACACACACACTTTCACACACACTTTCACACACACAGACACACACTTTCACACACACAGACACACACTTTCACACACACAGACACACACTTTCACACACACTTTCACACACACGTGCACACACTTTCACACACACACACTTTCACACACTTTCACACACTTTCACACACACACACTTTCACACACACACACACACGCTTTCACACACACACACACACACGCTTTCACACACACACACACGCTTTCACACACACACACACACGCTTTCACACACACACACACGCTTTCACACACACACACACACACACACACACACACACACACACACACACACACACTAAATATATATAAACACATCAGTGTAAAAATATAACAGCACTCTCCTAACCATAATCATAGGGGGGGGGGGGGGGAATCCATGTTTCACTCATGATTTCTTTGAAGTTTCACTAGTTCATCAAGTGCTGATACTATACTGATCATGCAATTAACAGCAGCTACAAAAGGGATAATCATTCAGTTATGGGTTGCCTTATCCAAAATGCACTCGGTCAATTCTTGGAAAAACACCACAAAATCTATAACATCACATAACAACCAATATGGTAATATGATAAATAATATTTGTATATCAATCTTGTAAAGAAATCACTCACCTTACAACAAAGTGGTAAAAATTAAGGACAACAAATGAATGAGCGAATCCCATTTCTAAGCACAGCCATTAAACAGTCAATATCTTTTAAGGTCACATAAGTAACAATATGATCAAAATTTGATAATCCATTTCAAAATAAAGTTAAACTCTTTAACATACAAGAATATGCCACAGAATAAGGTGAACTCTAATATATTCAAATGAGAGGAAATTAAATCTCACCATCTTGAAATTATTATTAAAAACAAAAAACAAAATGCATAAGGGCACAATAGGGATACTCAACAGTATCTATTTAAACCAGAAAGTCGTAGTTCCTCTGAGAGAACACTCCAGCACAACAATGCAAATTAATAACACACTGTGACTACACGCCACAACTTCAATGACCATGCAGAAATACATACCCAAGTTGTATGGGGCCTTTCGAGTCTTCAGGAAGCAGATTCTGAGTGAGACTTGTCTGACCTCCAGACTCCAGGCTTCCCTCTCGCTGTTTGATCAAAAACGATCGTTACCGGGAGGGTGGGTCAAACAACCCAGCATAAATTGAAGACCCGTGAGCCATCCACGGAAGGTTCCGACAAGGGTAGATTGTGAGCCAAGATTGAGGAGGAAACAATATTTCTGAATTATATCAATTACAACAACTCTCAGCATAGTTACATGATAAAATAAAACATACAGTTGAACATTTCCCTGGAAAGACATGGGCTTTTTTTGTTTCTTTTCTTTTTTTCTTTCAAAAATCACATTAAATGAGTGCAAACTTGTCCTGGTTGTCCTATGAAGTACAAACTCTCTAGAACCCAGCTACAGCCACCCATCCAGTGTTCTCCACTTCCCTACTCCTCAACACTAATCTATCAAAGTAGAGGCTAAACATCCTGTTCAGAAAAAAATTGCATTACACAGCATTTTTGAAGGAGAGACATTTAGAAGGAAAAGCTGGAAGATGAGGGATTAAGGAGTAGCAGTGCTCTAAGCAGAATCTACCAAGGGTATCATGCAGTGTGCAGGTAATTATTACGCATCTTGATGTACAATGAAGCTGTAATCCTTAATCCTGGGCTGCTCGCCTCTCAGAGTTCTTACCTTTGGGGGAATTACGGACTCTCATTATTTACATCTAGGCTAATCTTTTAACAGCTACTTGTGTCTCTTTCATTCTAAATCTAGTTGTGCAAGAAACTATCATCAATTTTAGGATGAAGGATGAATGAAACTCTCACCCTTGTCTACAACCAAGTACTCTGAGATGGGAGAAGACAGACTTGACTCCTTGCAAATGACACATACTCACACCAACGCAGGCACCGGCGATATTGTCTATCATTCAGAGACTTGCGCCATCAGACCCTCTTTCCTACAGGCATCAATAAAGTTGGGAAATAGCATATATCATCTTCCATCTCTTTGAGAGCTAGAGAACATGCAAGCAAACAGACTTTAAAATATAATATTCCTGATTTTGTGCAAAGTGTAAAAGAAACTAAAAATGTGCATCTATTACAAAATACTTTCTATCAAAAATTCTTTAAACCTGCTGGGAACTATAATGGAAATAAATGCTATTCCTAGTGAATCTGAGAACTCTAGTCTTCTATCTACTTCAAAATATTTGACGTGATGTCACGAAAATTATAAATCACCAATTATTAAAATAAAAATGTATCAAATATTCAAAGAAAAAATTACACCCTCTACAAGTTAATGAAAATCATAAAAGCCCATGCATCTTCAGAACAAAATTTCTCCATAAAATTGGTGCAAAATGTAAAGTCAAACTCTACCCTTGTCGTCCTGGCAGTAAGCTTCCAACATAATTTTGAGAACTAAAGTAAATGAAAAATAATAATAACAATGAAAACTCTACTAAATGTTCAGCATCTATATGCATGAACATCTGACATGACAAGCAATCGTGAGAGTAACAAAGACAGAGGGAAACGTTACTTACCTTTTTTTTTCTACTCCTCAAAGTTCTGAGATCTATCCATACCTTCCACCACCCTGAGCAGGTCCTAGGCCCACAATGTACCTATAATTACTGAATGCCTTTTTAACTGGACATCAGGCAGCCATGAAAAATCACTTTCTTTCTACCTCTCCCTCCATGCATTAAAAATTCAAGATGGTAGGCAGAGCAGAACATTATAAAAAATCTACAAGTTCAGTGCTTAGAGATGCACAAAGGGGCTCAAAACCATCCCAGAGCAACCCATTCCTTCCAATAATAAAAGTGACCATTCTCAATTCATGGAAGAAAAAAAAAAAAAAAAAAAAAAAAGACTGAAAACCTACTTGAAAAATCCAGGCATGGCCAGACACATCTCGCTAAAACAACTTTCACCAAAATTCAACCAGTTCAAGGAGGTACAGGAAATGAGAAGGAAAATATTAAAAATTCAAGAAAAAAAAATCAATGCAAATATAGGATAAAGCAAGAGCATATTAGTTACCCAATATGTTTGAGTTGGTGGAGCGACGTGTCGGTCAGCAGGTTAACACGCTCATCATCGTCAAAATAGACATCTTGGTCGTAAGGTAGATTTGGGGGGTACATGGCCTGTAGTAATGGTGGTGGTTTGGGGACACCACATTAGAATGACAGTTGGTGAGGCTTTACATTTCTTATTTGATAAATTGTGCAAAATCTACTTCAAACAAAACAGGTAGGACTGAAATCAGAAGTATTAATATAAAGACTTTACAACATGTACACAGACAGCTGACACAAAACAATTATAATGACAAAAATCAATACAGTTAATGTGAACTAAACACTTACAATATATATGTTAAAAAAAAATAAAAAATAAAAATACATACAAGGCTTTAGGCTTGAACATGATTCTATATGGGTAAAATTACTCCAAACATGCACTCAATGCACAAGCAATGCAACACTGCAACATGCTAGCAAAATTGCATAAAAAAGGAAGAGAGAAATAAACAACAATATTGATGATTTTAGCAATGATTGTGATGAATATAGCATTAATGGCAAGTGTGATAAAGATATAGCATAAATAGAGTTGAAAATGAAGTTGCAATAATGATGACGGCAACGGCAATGGTGAAGTTGAGAATGAAGATAATGGTGAAGATCACAACAAAGACAGTGATGATGACTGTAAGCAACACTGATGATAATAACATGAACTAATAACCAATGAAAACAACTCAATATTCATTATAACAATAATAAAATGAAAAATAAATAAGAATAACAATAGTGTAACATCTATAACAATAACAATAACCATAACCAAACTCATAATAATAAATAAAAACAATAATAATAGCAATAACAGTAATAACAATGAAATTAGAAACTAATAACAATAATAATAATGATCATAATAACAATAATAATAATAATAATGATAATAATGATGATGATAATGATAATAATAATAATAATAATAATAATAATAATAATAATAATAATAATAATAATAATAATAATAATAATAATAATAATAATAATAATAATAATAATAACAATTTCAATAATAATAATAACAATCACTAATAATAATAATAATAATAAAAATAATAATAATAATAATAATAATAATAAAAATAATAATAAAAACAAAAATAATAGTAACAATAGCAATAACAATAATATCAATAACAACAGCAACAATCATAACACAAAGAATGTCAATAATGATCTTAATAATCAAACACTAACAAAAATTGCAATACAAGGTTGAGCAAAATACAACGGAAATGCTTTCATAAATACCAGCAGACACAGATGATGCCATTATCACCGTTTTGTTTTATGAAAAATCGTGTAAGTGCAGAACCTCGCAACACATTTATTACAACAGACATATGAAAGTCAATCTAAGGTTGTGTATTTAGTACTAATTCTACCTATGTTCTAATGATTTTTTTTATTTGTGGTCTAATCCCCTATTCTAATTATTGAAAAACAAAAACTTGTATATTTATAAAAAAAAAAAACAAATTGTATAAAAATTAATTACTTAGTTCCTTGGCTTGCGGATCTAAGGGGGGGGAAATGCAAAGAACAGTTACACAAAAGACAAGAATTTGCATTTGCTTGAAAGTCAACTCAAACTTACCAAATGCCTTGCAAGATACTGCATATGAATCACAAAACTGCAAATCCTATTCGTGAAACTTACACCTACCATAACGCATGTTGTTAATGTTAATTTATGACTACACTATCTAATCAATTTTACACTAGAAATAAAAGAGTTTCATATATGTTCCATCTAAGATACAAGTAAATATACATATGGTAATGAGGTATAATAAACATGTTTGGACTAACCAAAGTGTACACACAAAAGTCACCACAAAATCCCATATCAACCAACTTTCTTCGCCTCAATTTTTTTTGTTTGTTTTAGCTCTAAGCTTTCCCATTTGTGAGAGCTTCTATAACACAGGACAAGTTTGCACACAACCACATGTATTAGTTATAAATTGCCTTTTCTATTTACCTTGGGTCCATGATTGGCAATGGGGTTCAATTAAGCACAATACAAATTTTACAATGCTAGAAATCTCACACAAACCATATTTAATACCAATATAAGATGGCTTCCTTGTTCATTACAGGTAGAGTTTATATTGCAAGTACTCTAAATGTTCCTAGTCTTCAGACTCTAACATAGCAATATTTTAATACGGGATTATAGTCCTTTTCTGGCATTATTTCTCTAATTTTCAAATAAAAACTCTATTCAAGTTTGATTTTTTTTTTTTTTTAATTCTTCTCCCTCAAAAGGGGCAAATGCATTAACTTTCTGAGCATCCTAAAAACATAGATACATTAAATTGCTTTGCAAAATAAAAGAAAGATTTAGTTTAGACATATTTTATGCACATGAAAGCAGAAGATGAAGAAAATTTAAATTTTTACATTAATAAGAACAACTAAAGCCATCTTGTGGAAGAGGTTTAACATCAATCAATATCAGAATATATATATAAAAAAGCTAATAATAGAAACAGTATCAAAACTTTCTTCTGGTATTATAAAAAAAATATCAGGAAATGTTCAAGTTCCAAAAATATCTTCACCACATGGACAGAAATAATAATAATGGGAAAAAAATAAATATGATTTCAATAACTTACATAAAAGATCTTTCTGTGTCTTGTATGTAATCTCATCCTCTCTCATTATTATATATTTTTTTGTCCAAGTGGTTTTCCAATTGCTAAGAAAAGAAAAATCTAAATAAGTATGACTTCTCTTAAACAAGAAAAAACTGACATTAAAATCATTAACTAAGATCACACCTCAAGCAAATTCAAAGTGATAGCCATCACACAACCCACTGACTATTGACTTTTACAGCAACTACAGTTTACTCAAAAACCAACCAGAAATTACAGCCACACTGCAATAACAAAAAGCTCAAAACCCCATATTAGTTAGCAAAAAAAGAAACATTTTCAAGAGCAATCAGAAAGAAATTTACTTTATCACTTTTAAGGTAAATATTGCTAACAGCATCAGTCCCTCTAAAGCACTTACAGAAAGGGAAACCAACCTAGCAGATAAACACGACACACAAAGACGCAAGAAGAATGGCTTACAACATACCTCGTCGAAGAAAACTTGGGTCTTCTTCAGGATGTGCTTCAGTTCCGTCAGCTCCAGGTAATTCCTCTTGAGAGCTTCGGCATTGCTGTTCACTTCCTTCAGCTCATTCTCAAGTTTCTCAAATGTCGCCTGTTGATGATTGATGCCCATTATTGTCACTTGTCAAATAAAATTCTAGAAACCTTCATACTGTATGTTTTAATAGCATTAAGTTTTATTAAACATTTCTTACTACAAAAAATATTGACTACCAGTGATGACTAAGATGGGAGATATCAGTAACGAAGCTTTCTAAGTTTTTCAAAGATATACAAATAAAATTGGCCACCTATTTATGTAAATATGACACTCCATCAGTATAGTAAATCCAAACTAACTCCTATATATGAAACCCATCCTGTACAATCAAGGCTTAGCAACAATGTTTAGCCCGAACTTCTTCCCGCAAACCCTTACCTCTAAATCAATCATCTCCCTGGGCATCGGAGCCTCAGGGTTCTCCCCAGTGTCCAGCACTGGAATCCCATCCTTACGGATCTCCCTCTCCAAATAGCGGAGCTTCCTCTCCATCTCATCGCAGCGGCGGACTTCATTTACGAACTTGCGTTGAAATGCATTCACATCTGGGTTGAGCTGAAAGAGAATATTTCATTGGTGCTTTCTTCATATTTTTGGGAGGTAGAGGTGAGGGTAGTGTTAAATCACAAAACATTTAAGCATAATAACACACTATACTTCACTTGGACTTACATCTCTGAACTGCACCAGTCCGAGCTCTCCAAGTTCGGAGACGCAAGTGTATGCCGATTCACTCTGAAGGAAGAGCTGGCATAGTGCCATCTCTTCACTGCGGAACAACGACCCCATGGTTGTTTTGATGTTATTCTAGTAGCCAAACATTAACATCTGCAGAGGAGTAAAGAAAAATAAATTAGAAACATTGCTTTATACTTCTGAAGACTAATATTCTTAAGGCAAAAATATATAATTACAACAAAATATTAATCTAAGAAAAAATTCAATGTAAGATGTATTTATTTATTTTTTTTTAACACTGGGAAAGAAAGATCTTAAAAAATAATAATAGCAGTAAATAATGAATTTGGCATCTGTATAAGTAATTTAACCCATTGCCGCCGGGGAAAACGAACAAAAAATGGGGAAAATACTCATTTTTTATATTTTTGTGAAATATCTCTGTACATAGATGGCTCTGCTAGTCCTGATTTCACCTTTCCTTGAATTGGTGGGTAAAAACGTATTCTTACTAGTGCTATAAATATAGAAGGTGTTATTTTTAACAGCAAATTAGGATAACATAAACTATTTTCATAAATCAATGAAAAGGGTGAACGGGTGAGACAGGCAATACTCGTAATTGGCTCATTGGTGACTTAGTACAAGTGTAGCCATCTATGTGTAAAAACAAACAAGTCAACTGACAGTGGGCATGGCATGTACGTACATGCCATCCCCGGTGGCAATAAGTTAAAGTAAGAACACTCCCTAAGTTAATCCAAACTACAGTTATATAGTGAGAATGAAGATGGAAACAGACAAAAAGAGAGAAAGAGAGAAAGAAAGAAAAACAGGAAGACTGGAAGGACGGAAAGTGTAAATGATGACAAATATATGCATAAGCATGAGTAGGTGTCAGCATGGGTGTGAGTGTGGGTGTCAGCATAATAAGGAGATGCAGTGAGGATATGGGTGCTTAGTTATTGTAGAAATTTAATAACCCTTTCTGTTCTTCAGCCCTCAAAAAATACATTGTTTATACTATTTGAACTTTCCTTTCCTTTCTTTCACATACAAGATTCATATTTACAAATGTATCTTCCATTTTCCTCCTTTCCAACAAACAGATTTGGAATATTGGTCTTTCTAAGCATCAGTGACAGTGGGGGCTTACAAGTATGTTAGCGTGTGTGTGTTGGGGGGGGGGGATATAAACTCATGATTTCTACCTAGTGTATAATAACAATGTAAAATAGGTGATTTTGTGCCTGTTTATTCACTCACATGGTATACAATAGACACCATGGTCATCACAGCATCTAAGGCCTTACAGCAAAGAGACTAACAAACCTCCTTCATGTATATTCTTGCAAGGACAGTGCTTACTCTCCTTATTGAATATATGCTATATCATGACCATAAATGCACAGCTTAAAACTAGAACTAGTTTCTCTTCGCTTCAAACAAGTGCAAACCTAATCAGTAGGGAATGTTGAATCTTCTTGGTTTATAATCAGCTTTTATATTTAAGGGTACTTCAGGCAAATTTTTTACTATTGACAAATTCTGTTTTTTTCCTTTCTTTTTCTTCCATGTCTTTATCTCTATCTTGCTTTTTCTCTATTTTTATCTGATTTCTCCATTCACTTCAGAAATAAAATTGAGTATCTTAGAATCTTCTTCGTTTATAATCAGCTTATATATCTAACCTTAATGCCGACAGGTATGACATGTACGTACGTGCCATGCCCAATGTGAGTTACTTGTTTAATTGCTTTTACACATAGATGGCTAGACTTGCACTGAGTCACCAATGAGCCAATTACGAGTACTGCCTGTCTCGCCCTTTTCCCTTTTTCTTTGATTTACGAAAATATTTATGTTATCTTATTTTGCTGTTACTAATGTTTATAACATTACAGTAATTATAATGTTTATAATAAAAATAACACCCTCGATATTTATAGCACTAGTATAAAATACATTTTTCCTTCCAATTCAAATCAGGCGAGGTCACAAGGTTTACTAATTGATTCCTTTGTGGCTAAGCACTAGCAGAGCCATCTATGTGCAGAGACATTAAAAAAAAAAAAAAAAACAGCATGGGCACAGCATTTTCCCCCATTTTTTATTCATTTTTCCCAGCAGCACTGGGTTAAGGGTACTTCAGGCTAATATTTTACTACTGACAAATTCATCTTTATCTTTAAGTAAGTTTATTTCTGAAGTGAAGGGAGAAATCAATTAGAGTATCAGAGGAATCTATCAATGAAGTTTAATTAAATTATCAACCATAGTTGTGCATAAATCTATAAAAAAGGGCTAAAAATGGTTTAATATATTATACAACTGTATATATAAATATAACTTACAAAACATATTTGTTCATAGGACAAAAGGGCAAGACCAAGTGAATAACAAGAAATAAAATTCTTGAATACTTTGACTTATGGCTTGTGAAGTTAGTTTCTAATAACTTATTTAAATTTCTTCAGTTTCCAGGTTCTCAACGGCTCAGTGGACTAACATTTCAGAAGTCAAAGCTCTCTGGTGCCATGAGTGATTAGGACCCCAACCATTCTTGGCACACAGAGGTAGGTGGCAATCTACAAAACTTTGTAGTCAAGGATAAGCTTAATACCCCAACCACCATATGAAGCCTTGAATACTATCTAGGAAGTGGCAAGTCAGCAGAAAGTGCCCAAAGAGAAGGGTTCAATGGGGGTAAAACTACCTCTCGGCTAAAAATATATTTTCTTGAATTAATCTCAGGGTTAGGTTTGGGTATCAAGAGCGTATTACTCAAGGTCATAAATCAAGTAGTTCCAGTTTGATTTATAACACACTTATCCTGGCCATTCAATATCACCTAATCCAGGTAATACTGGAACAGACACATAATGACAAAAACTGAAAAATCTGACCTTACTATCTAATAGAACAAAATATAAGAAACAGGTAATGTGTCTCATAAAATTAAATGGCCTCTTTCCAGCATAAGAAAACGAGGCTAAAGACAGACATGATTATAGCAGAGGAAAATTGCTTGGGAATTCAACTAAGCCAAGCAGTTTCACTATACAATGTATAATATGACAACGAACGCTGCTAGCTTTATGTCAGAGAAAACCACTCAGAATTACAGAAGATATATATACGACAACAGACACTGGGCAAGGGGAGGATAGCTGAAATTCAGATCTGTTCCATCATGATTAGCTAATGCACCAGGCATGTGAGAAATTCTATTCTGCCAAAATATAAGAGGTGAAGATTTTGCGGTTTATTTTTATAGTATGGATGAATGAAGCTAGGGTAAATTTTAGATGATATTCTTGTAGAAAACAAATGGTTGCAGTTGTTGGTACAAGAAATTCTCTGCAGCACAAACAGTAACAAAAGATCACGGAAAGCACCCAAGTTTCAGCTATAGCTTGCCATGCATACCGAGGTGAAGACAACCTTTGTCAGGGGATATTGGGAGGCTGAGCCCCGATCAACACTCCTCTCAGAGTACATCCAGTCACAGCAACTAAGATCTTTGAATAAATCTTGTGACATGAAGGTGGGAATTACGTCTCTGGCAAGTGCATCCATATCATAAAGAATTACTTATTTTTCTTTTCTCTGTGGTGTTACCAGTCATACCATACTTCTTGTACTTACAACTGCATCTTTTTGTCCTCTATAAGGATATCATCTATAATTTGCCCTAGCTTAGTGCATCCACCCTGTAGAGATTAACCTAATTATTCTTTGATTTGCTATTTCTTATTTCTTCTCCCACAGTTTCCTTAGCACCAATCACTGCTTTCTCAGCTATTGGGGCCCATATCATACCTATGATTCATTTGCAGCTGGAATGGACAATGGACGGTAAATATTCAAAATACCTTCACATAACTGATCACGATGAAAGTAGTATCGATGGATTCTTCTCACCCTCAACTACCCAAATATATAGAAATTATGCCATAGAAACCCCCCCACTCCACCCCATGCCTACAATCATGACCAAGAATAGCAGGAGAGGACATGAATGGTACTACCTATATTGTGGGGTAAAATATGATAATTTTTTAATTTCACAGAGCCATCCATTTTGCAATTATTATTCCTTCTTTCAATGCTGTAATATGTGAATCTCTTGTTATTTCCCACTGAAAATGGAAAATAATGAACTGTAGGATAGAGCACAAAAGAGACTCGGCAAAAGGTGTTCTATCCTGTCATTAATACGTAAAGAACACTTGGTCTACCAGGACGAGTTGAATTTTTTTCAAAAACGGCTGGACATTATTTCCAAATTAACCTTACTCTATCCACCCACACTAAAAATATCAAAACTAATCCACAACCTGTACCACCATTTAAAACTTACATAAACTTTATCTCTTCTCCCACTTTCCTTCCGAGAGGCACTCTGGCCCCACCTCTCAACAGCAAATCAATACTACAACTTCCCAGTAACATATATTAACCAATTCCACCTCTAAACACACAAGCCTCTGCAGCGGAAGACCTTTAACAAGGACACAATTACGAATAAAATAATATTTAAAACTTTCCTTGTGAGAGGCACCCCGTCCCCGCTTCTCAACAGCAAATCAATACTACAACTTCCCATCACATTTACTAACCAATTCCACCACTAAAACACACAAACCTCAGCATCAGATGATAATTAATAAGGACACAATCACGAATAAAGGAATACCACCTGCTTCTGCCCCTTATTAACTCTTACCATACGTTAGGGAGGCCAAGCAGAAGACCCCCATACAACCTGCTTTTTCTGCTGAATCCCGTGACCTGCAGGAATCACGAGCCTTGCTGGAAGTAGCACGCCCTGTCACCGTTTGCGAGAGTTAATCCCCTAGACCGTGGCGTGACTTGGCATTCGTGGAGAACAAAATCTTAACCGCTTGACACCTCCCCATGAAGGAAAAAAAAAAGACAACAGGGTTTTTCTCCCAAAGATATTTCGGGGATTTTTTTAACACCTGAGGGGTAAAATCGGCTGAAAATAACAGCTACGCGTTCAGACAGCGACGAGGAATCTATCTACCGTAGGAAGAAACGGGAAAACAGCAACTCGGAGGGGTTTAAAAGCGAGAACAGGAGGAAGAGAGAGCCACTCACCCGCTCGCCATGACGACTCCTCGGCTACAATCGATGGCGAATTGACACTGCTGACGTAAAGGCGCAGGCGAACTACGGCCTTTCTTTTTATCTATCTCGTGCTTTAGCTTTTTATGGCTCTTATGGGTTCAGCTTTCATCTTGTTGTGTGTTAATAATTTACTATATCAATTATGCCCCATAAAAGTTCTTTTTATTGTGTTCCAGAATGAAAAAGTGCGGAGCGGCATTTTTGAAATACGTAAAAGGCCTAGATCCCAGGCTCAGATACAGTCTAGACTAGAACAAGGGGAAATTGCTACCTTTTCAAGGGGCGGTTTTACTCTAGTTATGGAAGGTACATTTACAATATATTTGTGATTGATGTTCTAGTTTTCTTAACTCTTGTGAAGCATGAGGATAAATGAAAAAGAGGGAAGATGTTCGGTTCTGCTATATTTCGTCATGTGTATGGAGTATTTTCAAAGCAAAGAGGCATATACTGCAGCTCACTCTCATTTCTTAAAAGATCATTTTCATAATCCTACGAAACCCCACTGAAAAAATTAAGTGCATTCAAGGTGTTACAGAAAGCATATACATATCGGGAAAATATGTTAGTTCAGAGGGCGTGGCCAGACCAATCTATATTGTCCACTCACTCATTATGAGATGGTATAGCCAATAATCGTGGAATCAGGAGAAGGTGATGGAGTCCCCACATGCATTAAACCTCAAGCATAAATGAAAAAAATATATACACAATCTGTTTCTGGGGCGCATAGTCACATCCACTCTTCATTTCCATCCACGGGGGTTAGAGGCGTGTCCTCACGTATCTCTAACTTCACGCGATAAATCTGATCAGTCTGTTCAAGCCTCAACTTCCTAGATCGTCCCTCGGGCCTTATCCACCCAAGGTCGCCCTCGGGAAAGCAAGCCAAGACTCCGTATAGCCTGAGTTGGTGTGGCTTTTGGTTAAACACATGGTCTTGCCAGCTGAACCCCATAATCAGGCGCAGGAAGCTTATACAGCAGACATGAAGGTGAAATTCCAAGAGACATAGCGTTCAGGTTTCATTTCCGTAAAGAAAAAACGGTAGTATAAGGATCTTAAAGACATATAGCTTGTCCCCTCTTGTCGAGCGAATTGTGGTATTTACTGTAAGACCAATCTGTCTATTTAGTACCTGGGTGTGACAACCTGGAGTTATGGACTACACTATCAAAGTATGCAGAGCGCCATGTTACTTCGATATCCTTCTTATAAGCATGCACCAACTGGACAGGATCTCTTAACAGGCCCTAAAAATCTTGGTCCAAGAGACTTCTAGACCAGGGTTCTTCAAACTTTTTTGATCATGACCCAGTTTGATATCGTATTCTACATTCCCGACCAAGCATGTCCATTGTATGTTTATACATATCTGCATACATATATGTATGTATATGTACATATACATAAGTATGCATATATGTATAAACATACCTATATATATGTATATGTATACAAATACACACACACACACACACACACACACATATATATATATTGTTATAATTATTATTTTCATTATTTTTATTATCACTGAGTGGCGGCTCACTCAAAATGAACTTGATTTCCGTACATTGAAGAAACCTATTCTAGCCCCAAGGGATCCGCCTCATTGCTTAATGTATCGAGAGCAGCATTAGAGTCTTTTGGGACTCATATGGGATGGTAACAAAGTGATCATGATTTGCCCCGATGTTGCTCTGGATAGCAACTCTACCATGCAAGTGTTGAAGTGTTGGTGCAGGGACACAGCCTTGCCTTACTCCTGAATTCACGGGGAAGGAACTAGACAGTACCCCACCGCACTTCATATTGCTTTAATTACCAGTGTACAGGCCTGCTACTAATCCAGTAATCTTTATCGCCATTTCCCCAAGTCTCACGATTTCCCAGAGCGATTCGCGAAGCACCGAAAAGAGCGCCTTCATGAGGTTGCTATAAGCTGCAAGCAAACCACGATCAGAGGAAATTCGGGGCCCACTGCACCGGCGTAGGGTCCAACAATGGGTCTGAGGATTTCATCTCTATACCTAACAGCTGTCAGGGTACCTTGATAAAGCACATGAAGGTCTGTGCGACCCTCCAGAGATATGCCTCCCCAGCTCATAGCCGTCACATCACCAAATGAGTCATGTTGAACGATGTTGCATGCCGCATATCGCTCTCCACGTCTCCAGA